GGAATGGTGGCTGGATGCAAGTATATTCATGTCACCATCTAGGGACTCTTGGTTTTGGATGCTGCCTCTGGCATGCCATTCTTTTGGAATAGAATAGGAATTATTCAATCCTGCATCATGTTTTAAGAACATGATACTCTGGTTCATATGCTGAACTTTAGAGTTTACTCCTAGAGACACTTATCTGTTCTGTGAGGTGACTGATGCTGGACAATAATGCAGCCTGTAGAAGGGAACAGGAGAGTGGGACTCTGTCCTACCTGGGGGTCATTGTAAAAGAGTTGAACCACAATTCAGAACTATTTTAGAAAAGTTTGTTTCATGTAAATATGATCTTGCTGTCAGCTGCTGCTGGTGTGAAGGGATGGAAAACTGAAGGCAGAAGTGGTGGTGGATCATCTTGCTTGATTATCCACGTTACTTGGCTTCCTAGATGCTGTTTTCTTTTAGAAAGCTTCACTTTGTAGGGATGTAAGAGGATTAAAATCACTAACATTGAAATTTCTTGGTGAATTGAGCTGTGCATGTGCAAAGAAATGTAAAAATTAGTAGTTCTATTGAATGAATTTTGTTTTTCAGTACAAAGAACTGGAACACACCACTGATCTTTGACCTGAGGGAAGGAACAGTCAGTTTGATTCTACAGGCAGAAAGGTAGCTCACTTCTTGTGATGCTCACTGTTGGGAACATGCATTTTCTAAAACCTTGCCACGTGAAATAAGCACTTCCTGAAATATTAAAAGTAGACAAAAAGTGCAGAGTGTTGTTAAGTAGCATGTAAAGGCTTTGCTGGTGTATTTGCCATAGGTCTGTGATGGTGGCAATAAATCTTTTCATACATTATACATGTTAATACTCTTTATTTATGGAAGAAAGTAGATCTTCTGACATTACACTAACGTCTGGGGGTTTTTAATGTTTTATCTTGTGGTTTTCAAGTAGAATATATTTTATATAAATGATGCTTGCTCTGCCATTTTTCTTACAAGCATTGCCAGGTACACCAAAAAAAGAGAAATAGTTACATTTTTCTTGCATATTTGCAAGAAATTACTATTTTGTTCTCAGTTTAAAAACTGTTTTAGTCTGCATTTCCTGAAGGTCATTAGTCAAAGAGATCTTGATGTGTCCTTGTGTAGAAATAAAGTCTTTCAAAGGAATAAGAACAGAAGCAAAAAATTATGGAGTTTTGATTGTAATCTTAATTCTCTTGCACAAATATTGTTGGGCAACTCCTTCAGCACAGTGCAGCACGATGCTCCTGCATTCTTCAGTGCCTCAGATTAATTTATGCCCTGGTCCACCAAGGTGCTGCAGCAGGGAGTGGGTAAGCAAGTGGACAGGATTTGAAGATGAGGTTCTAGAGTAAGAAGTTTTGTGCTGCTGCTGAAAAGTGAGTGTTGAAAACACGGTGCAGGTTCTTTGGCAGTGCAGGTGCTGATGTCTCCACCAAACTGAATTTAACCAGTCTGCCTTGCAATGATATGCAAACACGCTGGTTATTTGGTGCTGGTGATTGAGAACAGTTACAACAGATAAAGGTTTAACAACTGGTTCTTTGTTTCTGGCTGGTTTGTATCTATGAGCTCTACATGCTGTGCTTACCACAGTTATTGTTGTGTAGAACTATTCCTCTTTTGTATACATTTTTGCAAAGTGCTCTTGCAAGTAAGTTCTTTTTCACTGAAGCCCTTCATTGTCATGGGTGGTGATCAGTGTCTTGCCTTTGCTTTGCATCATTAAGTTAGTTGAACTGAAGGAAATGATACAGATAATACTATTTCAAAGCCAGCTCCAAACACTGAAGCTGTTTCTTACATATATAGACACTGTGTGTCTCTTGGGGTGATGTGAGGGGAGTATCATCTGCAGCTGAATGCTTTGTCAGCAAGTGTTATGAGCCTTTAATCTTATCATAACTGGTAAAACTATATTGATTTCAGGTAATAAATATTTCTCATGGAAAAAGGTAACATTCACATCAGAACTGAAATCTTCTATGCAGAGCTTTCAAAATATGTAAGGCTTGGAAATGATGTTGTTAAACTGAAAAAGAAAAAGGCAGGTTATTAGACAAACACCTTCAGATTCTTCAAACTGTCATCATGCTTTTCTGCATTATTGCTTTTGTTTTGGGGTTTGTTTTTGTGCTTTTTTTAGGCATTTTCTTCTGGTAGATGGTGGAGGACTTTATTTATATTCATATGAAGGAAGATTAATTTCCTCTCCGAAATATCCAGGGATGAGAACAGACATTTTAAATGCCCAGACAGTATCTCTGAGCAATGACACTCTAGCAGTCAAAGACAAAGCTGATGAAAAGGGTGAGTTCTCTGTTCTGGTAGTTCCATAGTTGCTACTAATTAATTATTAAGTTTTCAACATCTTTGCTTAGCACACTTATGCTTAAAATGAAACATAAAAGCATACGCAAATTATCTATGATATAAATTAAAAATATATTTATTATATGAATGACTTAAATTCATGGGTCTTGTCTAACTTTGATTTAAAAAATGTAGAGAATGGTGTATGTCTCTGAACTTGCAGTTGTGTGTACAGTAAATACTTCAGTGGGTTTTCACTCTCTGACATGGCATTTTCTAAAGCATCTCAGCAAATTTTTCTGCTTGGCAGCTGCTCTTAGAAGCTACCAGTACTTCATGGGATTCATTTCAGTTCTCAGATTGCTTTGGTTTCTTTGGGTGTAAGTTTTACCTGCAGCTGGTAAGATCCTAGTCACAAGGCTGTGATGTTCTGTCTCAAATGCTGTTTTCTTGGAGATTTTTGTGCTCTTAAATGGTGTGTTTTGGCATCCAAAGCACTCCAATTCTAAACCACAACATGGCCAAATGAGCTTCAGGTCAATTTTGGCATCAATGAGGGGAACAGGAATTCAGCTTTTTTCCCTTGTTCTGTCATTTGATGCACATGTGTAAGTTTGCCCCACGTGTATGTTTTTTTCCTTGGAAATCCTTCTCTTTTATGTGAAAACAAAGACTTTTCATTATTACACAACTATTATAGACATCTATTATACCTATTTTTAATTTTGAATAACTACCTCAAAAATTAGCAATATAACTGTAACACGCATTCTATTTTTAAGGACAAAATACTTCAGAAAATATTATCCTGAAGCAAGTCATAAAGGATATGTAAAAGAGCTATGCAATAACTAAAATGGATTTTAATTTCAAAAATATATTTCAGTGCAAATTATTCAGAAAAAAGAAGTTGTTTGCAAAAAAAAAGAAAAAAGGATAAGTGAAAAGTTTCATCTTATTTGTGATCTTTTACTCTGTGTGTCTTTGTATTGCACAAGTGCCCCGACAAGCTCATTTACTCTGCAACAGAGAAATACAACTTGCTGTGCTTTGGTGTTGTTATTTGGATATTCTTTCTCTTTCAGTACTCTAGAAAAAAGATTCCTGCCTCTGCACTTAAAGTCCTTCCTCAGTCTGTAATAAAGTGGGAGAGGGAGGTGAGCTTCTCAGAAGGGACCTGCTGGCCCCCAGGAGCAGTTATGCTGTGGTAACAGGCCCTGTGTTAAAAAACACAAAGCAGCTGCTCCCTTTCTCTGGGTGTCCAGAGAATACTCTTTGTTTGTATTTTTTATTTATATGTATCAAAAAGGTGTATTTTAGCTTCTAAATGGTTGTAAAGTAATGTGGAGTTTTTCCAGATGGGGGGGTTGAACCCGAACAGCCCCAAACCTCTATCCTGAAATACCTTAATAAGCATTGTAGATTAATGACAACTTAACTGATTTTACTTGTCAATTAGGTACAGTGGTTTTCTTCAAAACTGTCTTAATCTCACTTCCTATAGCTAGTGTAGTAGCAGTGAAATTGTCATGAAGAGCTAGATGAAAATAAACTTCATGCAGGGAGCTGTGCATAAAAAGTGAGAAAAATACCACTTCTCAGGAACAATCGTTTTCTTTCGTGTATTTAGCCAACTGCCAAGAGCAGCACTTGTGCAAAACCCTCTCTTTTCCTGCCTTGCAAACTCGGGCAGTGCTTTCTGAACACCTGCTCTGACAGTTTGGGTTTGCTGTAACTCTGCCTGTCTGAGCCTTGACCTCAAACCAACATCCTGTGTCCCAGGAGACGCTCGGAGCAGGATGAACATGTTAACGTCGCCATCCCTTGGAACCAACACGGATGTTCAGCTTCTGTTGTCCATACTCCCAGGGAAAGTGTTGGTACAGCTGCTGGGATGTGGTGCTGAACACCTAAAACCATTCTGTCACATCTGTGTGTTCCAGGAACAAACCTGGAATCATGTGCTCTAAGTTAGAGCCAGTGTTCCTGAAAATGTTACTGTTTTCCCAAGGTTTGAATACTCTGCCTACATCGCTCTGAATTCATGTGTGTATTCACAGACTGTGTATAAATTTGGGGTTTGGAATACACATGGATCTGTGCATCACACAGATGTGTAGAGAGAGACAAAGAAAGAAACTATTTTTAGGCAAGTTGCAAATTTGAGTCTTCACTGGAAATCGCAGAAATACAAATTATGTAGGTGGCTTTTTCTTCTTTCTTTCAAGAATGAAACAGGCAAAGAATGGAACAGATGGTCTGATGAGAGTGATTGCAAGAATTATATATAACATCCAAGTGTCTTTGTCTAAAGCAGGTACTCTTTGAGGAAGGCAGTTATTAATATTTTATCATTAACTGTGTCGTCATGACAAGCAGAAACCCCAAACTGTCCAGGAAGAAAATATGCCTTGGGACCACTGTAGTGAGAGTTCAAAATAGGGCAGATTATTAACAAAATCAAGAATGCTTCTGAAGAATGTTTTACCCAACAGTCCAAAGGACACTGTTGTATACATCTGATACTAATTCTTTTAGGAAAATACAGCAGTCATTGGGTATTACTACCTAAACTTTCATATTCATTAAAGCAGTGGGTTAAGATGGAGTAAATCAGGTAGCCTTGGGAACATGAGTTTATTCAGAATGCAGGGTACAAACTTGCATCAGGTAGAAAACTCAGTGGCATTTCTGTAAATAACCAGTTGAGCTGTGATAGGAAGTAAGACATTAGTGTTCTCAATTTTGTGTCAGTCCATAATGTCATGTTTCAATGGCTATCAGTGCTCTGAAAAGAATATTTGAGCATTTTCACAGATCTCTCTCACTGCAAAATGAGCCTATTCCTGAGCAGAGTAGGATGGTAACATTTCCCATTTTTAAGATTCCTTTTTCACTAGTGTGTGAAAGTCACTGGTAGATCTAGCACACAGGAACAGGCAGGCACTTGCAGTAAATTAAACTCTAAAAATTAATAGAACTGTTGCTTTTAACTAATAAACCATTTTTTTTTTTTCATTCAGTTATCTACATATTTGAAGCTTTATCTGGGAAGCCACTGGGTGATGGAAAACCTCTAACCCATAAGGTAAGACGGTCTCTTTTTTATTATACTTTGAAATTAAGACTCAATAATGGATTTCCTCAGTGATGGGTCTGATAACCTATTAAAGCTTTACAATCTGAATAGAAAGGAGCAAAAATCACATTCTTTATGCAGTGTGGATGTACAAAGGGGTGGGAAACTTGCATCAGGTAGAAAACTCAGTGGCATTTCTGTAAATAACCAGTTGAGCTGTGATAGGAAGTAAGACATTAGTGTTCTCAATTTTGTGTCAGTCCATAATGTCATGTTTCAATGGCTATCAGTGCTCTGAAAAGAATATTTGAGCATTTTCACAGATCTCTCTCACTGCAAAATGAGCCTATTCCTGAGCAGAGTAGGATGGTAACATTTCCCATTTTTAAGATTCCTTTTTCACTAGTGTGTGAAAGTCACTGGTAGATCTAGCACACAGGAACAGGCAGGCACTTGCAGTAAATTAAACTCTAAAAATTAATAGAACTGTTGCTTTTAACTAATAAACCATTTTTTTTTTTTCATTCAGTTATCTACATATTTGAAGCTTTATCTGGGAAGCCACTGGGTGATGGAAAACCTCTAACCCATAAGGTAAGACGGTCTCTTTTTTATTATACTTTGAAATTAAGACTCAATAATGGATTTCCTCAGTGATGGGTCTGATAACCTATTAAAGCTTTACAATCTGAATAGAAAGGAGCAAAAATCACATTCTTTATGCAGTGTGGATGTACAAAGGGGTGGGGTTTCATGCACATGAAGAACAACTTGTATTATTTTACTGGTTTTACTTAGAATCATAGAATGGTGAAGGTTGGAAGGGACGTTCAAGATCATCAGGTTGCAACCCCCCTGCAAGGGCAGGGACACCTCCCACCAGCCCAGGCTGCACAAGCCTCATCCAACCTGCCCTTGAACACCTCCAGAGATGGGGCAGCCACAGCTTCCCTGGGCAACCTGTTCCAGCACCTTCCTGCCCTTATGGGGAAGAATTTCTTCCCAATGTCCAACCTAAATCTCTCCTCTTCCAGTTTAAAGCCATCACACCTTCTCCTGTCACTGCCTTCCCTGGTGAAAAGCCCCTCCCCAGCTTTCCTGGGCACTTTAGGCAGCTTTTGCTTGGGATCTGCCACTTGTGTTTGTGTCATTTTCTAGTAAATTCCTAAACTGCCAAATCTGCTCTGTTTTCATCTGCATGAAATTCAATGTATATAATACTTCATTCAACAGAGGAGACACACACACAGTGTCTTCACAGTCCAGTTTTTCAAGAGTTGTAGCCTTGTTTTTAGCAAAGCATTCATCTGTTTGACTGTCACATGCTTTCTGTGATATGGATCTCCAAAATAAAACTCAGATCTTGACTTTTTCCTTTTCAGACGGAAATTGTGGAGATTGCTTTGGACCAGAAAGGACTTACAAGTGAAAGAAAAATAGCTTTTATTGACAAGAACAGAGATCTTTACATTACTTCAGTGAAACGGTTTGGAAAAGAACAGAAGATTGTCAAAATAGGTAAGAAAAATGAGAAATAACTTTCAGCTAGATGCCAGCATGCAAATAGACTTACAGCTGGTAGAAGAGACAGAATTGTGCTTTTTCATGAATAGTGAAATTGGACTTGAAAAAACAGTAGCAACAGTCTTGTTGTTTTCATGAGATAGTGGTAGAAACCATGTTAGTCCATTTTATGTGCATTCTGATGGACATGATTCTGAAAAGAGCTTTCAGAGACAACTGAGTTTGGCTGGAGGTTTTACCTTACGAACCAGGGGGTTAAATCCAGCCCTTCTAAAAGGAACTACAATGACCAAACCTTTTTACTGAAGCTTGGAGAAGTCTGCATTTATTTGGAAGTTTCTTGTGGAAATGCATGTCATTCTGTTCTCTTTAAATGAAGGGACCATGGTTCAAACTTTGGCTTGGAATGACTCCTCCAACATTCTCTGTGGGATTCAAGGGACCCGGTTTACAGTCTGGTACTACCCCAACACAGTCTATGTTGATAAAGATCTTTTGCCAAAAACTCTGTATGAAAAAGATGCAAGGTAATATATCCTGTTGATCAAAATGGTATTATTATGTCTTTTAACTGGTTTGTTTGTGCCTTAAAGAATTATCTTCATTTGGGCAGCTGAGGTAGAAGCCACGGTTGTGACTTATTTTACTCTCTTCACATGACTGCTCCTTGATTAGGAAGTGGGGAAAAGGTGTTTTATAAGGTATATCATAAAGTTTGGAGCTGAAATGACAATGTGCAGTTGAAAAGTAGAATAGCAGCTTGATGCCAAAGCAAACTTTTATTCCTATGTTCTGAAATATTGCCTTAGCTTGTAAAAAAAAAAACCCAAAACAAACAAAATAGAAAATATGTTTAAAGTATCTGTTGGAAATTAAAAGTATTGCAGTTTTAGGTCACAGATAATATTTTTCTAGCTCAGCATGTTTACTTTGCATATCTACTTCAGCCTGTGCACTTTAAGATATTAAATTTTTAAAGGAGAGAATCCCTGAACTCATCATTTAATGCTCAGAACTACCAGAGCCTAGATATTTTTTACTGAAAAATGTGTTTGAAAGTTTCTGCACGAGTCCCCAGTTTGCATTTGCCTTGGAGCCAGGGAATGAGCATAACTAGAATTTTCTTTTCAGAGCCCAGCACAACTACCTGCTGGATGTACCTGTTGAATAACCAGGTGCTTAGATTTTTATGTGCTCTGAAAATGAAGTATAAGCGGTTATAATTTTGAAACAAAGATTTCTTGACACTCCTTATGTTCTTTTTCAGTAAGAAAGAAGTGAATATTATCTTACCTTTCTTTCTCTCTTTTCTCTACCCAGTGAATTTAGTGAAAATCCCCAGATTGTGCATTTTGTAGGAAATCAAATAACAATTAGAAGAGCAGATGGGTCACTTATTCACCTCAATATTTCACCTTATCCTGCGGTTCTTCACGAGTATGTTAGTGGTTCTAAGTGGGAAGATGCTGTCAGATTGTGTCGTTTTGTCAAGGTAAATGCTCATTATCAGGAACATCCAAATATACTTTCACTGTAATATTTAGACTTTGAAGTATTCCTTTAAAAATGATCATTGCAGGTGTTGCATCTCGTTTCCATGTTGCTTTGTTGCTGATGGTTTTTGGGCTGGTCATGAAAAATGATGCATTTTTTGTAATCAAATAATATCAAGATACAAAATGTTATATTCTTATTATGCATAATAAGCATTCTTGCTTTTATGGACACTGAATTCCAGATGGATTGAACACAGGTACTCACAGACATTACTAATGAGCTGAAGTTTACAGGACTAGTCTTTAATATAAGCAATTAAAAATGATCTGTATCTCCACATATAGTTGCCCATCATTTTTTCATATTTTGTTTCACTTCTTTGCTTTTTCCTTTGCTTTCTTTTCTATGTATTTAGGCAACAGCAACAGATGAGGTGAGTCTGCCAGTCTTTAAAACAGACAAACAAAAATTCCTCCAGCTCCTGCTTCCTTTCCCTCATTTGCTCCTAGAAGAGAGATTTCAGTGTTTTTGTGTGATTATCCTGACCTTAAATGTGTAGTTAAACTATTTCTGTGTTTGCATTATTACACCAATACACACTCAGATTGTATTGGATTGTATAATGATTTTTATTTTTAGTGTTACCCCTTTAATAATAGGCTTTTATTCCAGTATTTAGCATGGGATTGCAAACATAGTATTATATTAACTTTTTGAGTAACTTAAATGCATCATCTTTAAAAGTAAAACATCTGTATCAAGCAGTAATATTCACAATATTGTTTCTTTCTGATGAATATGAAGGTTTTCTCATTCAAGGATTATTTTTTTTAAGTCAAACTATTCATGCATCCTCTTCATTCTTTTGGGTAGAGTCATCCAGTCAGTTGAATCATGCTTGAAAGGAATTTTCAGTGCTTTTTAAAATGAAATCCCAATGTAGGTGTTGTGGTTTTTCACTGTCCTTTTTTGTGGCCTTTCTCTCTTTATTCCCTGTGTGTCACCAAGGGAGGAGAAGATCCTTTCTCTCAAGAAAAACTGTCACAGAATCTTTACATTCACCTCATCTGGTTTTAAGTACCCAAGCTGGCTACGTAGGACTCAGCCTTTGAAACCTTCTCCTTCCCATTGATGACAAAGTAAAAGGGTTTTTGTCTTTGATGTGGGGTGATGTAAACTGGCCTAAACCACATGGTGTGAATATCCTTTTGGTTTCCCAGTTGGTGTCTGGGCTGGGGGATGGCCTGGGATACCCTTACCCCAAGGCAAGCAGGGAGCCATTGCAGCCTTGCCTGGAGTCTGGCCTGACTCCCAACCTCTTCATGGACACACAAGGCTATTTCCTTGATTTTTGGCAACCCAGGTTCAAAGGGTTTCCCATTAGGAATAACAAAATAGACCATCTTTCTGAGGGAAGAGAGATCAGCAGGACCTGTTGGTGAAAAACTCCCAGAACCTTGGTCCCTTGCATCATTTCATGTTGAGTTTCAGTCTTTTCTCACCTCATATTCTAAATAATAGGGAAGTGGGAAGAGAAGACAATGATCTTACAAGCATTTGATTCACTGAACAATTTTAATTCTCCCAAATTAGGGACTGCCAGCAGGAGGGTTTGTCTGGTTCTGAATTATGGTGAGGAGCAGGAACACATGGGCAGGTGGAGAGATGGAGAGAGTGAAACCACTTTAGCCTTGGGCTAAATTATTTCATTGCCTTTTGTAGGTCTTACCAAAATTTTCTTTCATCCAAAAGCAGTTGTAATGCAGAGTTATGTGCTTAGAGCATACTCAGTGCAGCTGCTGATTCCAGTTTCAATCACTAGTAATCCTGTGCTGCTTCTAAAAAACTATTCTCATGGTAAAGGGCTTATTTTCAAATTTGAAACACAGTGAAAAAAATACTAAAACCCACTTAATTCCTAGACTGTATGTAGATTAAAAGGTACATTTAAAACAATATTTTCCTTCTCTGAACTAGAGTTTTCAGATGTTGGAGCATAAACTGTATTAGCTAAAATGTTTTAGTAGTATGTCTTTATCATATTGTTGTCAGACTTGAATAGGGAAAATACAAACATTTCAGGATTTTCCTAAATGATTTTCTGAGTTAGTGGGCTGTAAAAAAATGCAAAAGTCATGAAAACAGAAAACAAGGGTGTAATGTTATTATTACCACTAAGTTTTTCTCATTCTTTTTTCTGAACATAAAATGTACTGTGAAGTATCACAAAGGAGACAGAACTTTTATAGCTCTTCTTTACTTTTCAGTAGGCTCATAGTCTGTTCTACAGTCAAGTGATTCATTTTTTCCCCCTTCTCTTTCATTTGTAGTAGGTTAATGATAATTGTAGAGTTAGAGTTACTGTTATTTGTGGAGTAAGGTTGGGATGAGCCAGGGTGAAATACTGTTTTGAACCACAGCCAGTGCTTTGCTTTCCAGCACAGTTCCAGTGAAGGGACACCAGTGATGAGCCTGCAGAGTGGTGCTTGTGGCCAGAGTTCATTACTGGCTGAGATGCTGAAAACTAACAGACTGTCAGTCTCAGCTGATCACAACATTGTTTTTTTTTAAAGGAGTTCAGAGGAATAATGAAGTAGTGACTTTCTACTGCGAGATTTAGACCACAGTACCAGGAATGGCAGTGAGGAACGTTACGTAGTTATACCTTGTTTTCAGGACTTGTGTGCTACCTGGGAAAAGTCTTTTTTAGCATGATAAGAAATACTTGAGGTTTTAGGAGTTGCATTTTGGTTTCAATTTCAGGACCAAACCCTGTGGGCCTGCTTAGCTGCTATGGCCATTGCCAACAAAGACATGGCTACAGCAGAGATCGCCTATGCAGCCATTGGAGAGGTGAGAAAATGCTGCTGTTTATTTCCAGTGAAATTGTAGCACAGCTAATTGTATTGATTCATTTATCACATTAAACCATTGTACATCTCCCCAACAGCATGACAAGGTGCAGTATATCAATTCCATCAAAGATCTTCCATCAAAAGAGTCCAGGCTGGCTCATACACTGTTGTTCAGTGGAAACACCCAGGAAGCTGAGACCCTGCTCCTCCAGACAGGCCTTGTTTACCAAGCCATTCAAGTCAACATTAATCTGTACAACTGGGATAGGTAGGATTTATTTAAACACATCTATTTAAGCACATATTTACAAGCAGTCTTACTGAAGTAACCTGTAGACTTAGATCTATTGTTTTATTGCAGATACTTTGCTATTTTTTTAGATGTAATTGCCCTGAGCTATAAAAAGATTCAATAAATCACATCCTGAAAATAACCAAAGAAGTAACTTTTTTTCTGTCATATTTAGAAGATAAAAGTATTCTGTGATAAGAGTCCAAAGCATGCTTGGAAGCTTTTTTAAATAACATTTTGCTTTTGATTATTGTTAGCAAAGAGAAATCTGTAGTGATACCTCAAACTGCATGTGACCCTTGGAGAATTAAGGCTGTTTTGAAATGTCTTGTTGCTAAAAATAGACACATGGCTCTGCAGTCTCCCAGCACTGTGTAGGTGGATGACATATGAATTAGGCTTGAGAAAACAAAGTAGGAATTTCTCCTTTAAACAAAACCCACGTTTTCTAACAGAATCTTCTGAGGCAATTTACTTCTAATTCCCCTGCTATTATATTTGTAGCATCGTGGGCAAAAGTTGTTTTCCTCCCCACGTATCTGTGGTTTTTTACTATGTTGCCTGATCTGCATCATCTAAAAACTGTGTCCAGCAAACATGAGTATTCCTTGTGCCATTAAGAAGGAAACAGATGTCAGAGTCACCAGTTATCCTAACCCACTGATTTATCTTTCCTACCTACAGAATGTTCAGGAATGCTGTGTAGCACACGCCATCAGTGTGTGGTACAACACTGTTCACAAGTGCTTCCTAACTATAATCAAGTCATTAAAAATTATTACTTTTTCCCCCTTTATATTAAGAGTGCTGTACTCTAACCATTCTGGTTTATTTTCTTGAAATAAAACTGTGTTGTTAAACTCCAGTGATGCAGTGAGGTTGTCAACAGAAAGAATTGGTGGATATTCTCCTTCTCTGGCTCCCTTGAACCTCCTGTGGCTGACACTAGTGCAAGGCAGCTTGGCACTATAGGTTAGGAATCTTTGCCTGCAGCTCAAACGCTTTTCAGCATATCATTTTGCAAACCCAGGGGGATTGTAGTGGTGCCAGAGCTTTTCTGTAGCCTGACAAGCCCGTTTCTGTCTGACTGCAGGGCCCTGGATCTGGCAGTGAAGCATAAGACACATGTTGACACTGTCCTGGCTTATCGACAGAAGTTCCTAGAGGACTTTGGTAAAAAAGAAACCAACAAAAGATTTTTGCAATATGCAGAAGGTGTAAGTGTTCCTCAAACTTATTTCTCCAGCTTTAGGTCAGCCTGCTCTTTGGAACCAGCTTGGGAGGGTGGAGGGAATTCCTCTTATTTTCTTTCTTTGGTTCAGATGTGGACACAAATCTTTAGATTTTACACCTGAGTACAAATTCATAGCTTGCTCTGTGGCTACTTGGCCAGTGATAGTTGTGCATGTGTTTTCTGTGTTTTATTTTATACAGAATGTGTCTATTTCCTGTCTGGCAAGGATTATACAAATGAAGGCACCCTTGTTTTCTATGAACAGGGAGCTAGACCTTAGTATGGTTGAATATGTACCTCTTCAGTATTTTTAGGTAATTTTATGGATAGCAACAGTAAGAAATGGTGAAGGTCCAGATATATATTGAGTATGTAAATATTCATATATAACCAGATATATATTAAGAGTGAACTACAAACTGTTGTGCCAAATTTGATAAACAGCTAAATACACAGTTTCATCAAGCCTTTGGAAACCCTCTCCAGCATCAGTACGCCAACAGTAGGGCACAAGAGTTGCCAGCAATGAAACTGAACTTCACAATTACATTTTTGCCCAGTTTTTGGACATGATTTTTTTTGTAGTCATGAAATGCACCATAATCCATTCTTTCTTGTCAAACATTTTTTTGCAAGAAAGGCAACTATTGTACCCCACTGCACCATGGATATTGTGCTATATCTATTGTCTGAAGTCTCCCTGAAGTAGGAGACAGCCAGAAGATGATGGTTCTCTGCAGCTGGAGAAATGCCAGGATAAAGCTAAAACTTCTGATGATGTAGAAGACAAATTTCAGGCTGGGATCTGATTTCTGTTCTATCAGATAACCAATGCCATATGCTGTCAGTTTACTGGGTGGGCTTTAGGTGCAGTCAAAAGCCATCACTGCATGTATTATTGATAAAGAGCTTTGTTCTTCTTAATGGCACCCAGAGGTCATTGCATTTAAATTAGATGCAAATTGATCCAAGTTATTTTTGTGTTTTGATGTGGGATTTTTATTTGCCAGACACAAAGGGTATTAGTATTTGTGAAAATACATGAAGCTGATTTTATTTTGAAAAGCTCAGTTTGTTAGAACTGCACTTTGCCTTCATACATGCAATTATTATAAGTTGTCACTTTTACATTAAGAACTATATAATAATTGATACAGTCACATTGTAATTGTAACTTCAAATTGTCCTGTTAGAGCTTTCAGTTTGACCTCTTTGACTCCTGTTGGTTGACCTCTGTGTCCTTGTTTTTCTATTCTTACAGCTGGAAGTTGATTGGAATAAAATCAAAGCCAAAATTGAGATGGAAATGGCTAAAGAAAGAGAACGAGCAGCAGCAGGTCCTGCAGTGAGAGGAAGTGTAACTGTGCAGCAGTGACTTTCCTTTTGGTCATCTTGGGAAGTGCTTCATGAAGATTTTATACTGGCATCTTTTGACAAACATGAATTAAAAAGCCACAGCAAACATCTTGTGGGGAGCAGAAGTGAGGATTGGTATAGTTCTTGGTAACTGTTGGATGACAAGCAGAATCCTGTATTTACTACAGCCTCATTTTGAGGTGGGTTTATGCTGTGGTGCCCTAGCTCCAGTGAGTGGCTACATTGTAGTCCATAATACTTGTATGAGAAAAGAGGAAAGTCAACTGTCTTTCCATTACTGGCTTCGAAATTTTCACCTCCATTCAAATGATTTAACCTTGGTTGCCTCTAATTAAGTACCAATTTCCCTGTTTAACCACCTAGTTAAGTAGTTTGCTTAATTCTGCAACTTCAGGGACCTCTGAAAAGATCTGTTTAAATGGCCCTAAATTTCTCTGACTGTAAGTGCTGAAAATTAAAAAAGGAGCTTGCACCTATAAAGTGCAAAAGAATGATTCCCCCACAGTTAAGGTAATATACATTTCTGCTCTAGCAGGTTCTTTAATAGCTTCTTTCAGGTTACTTCAGCAATTCAGGTTTGTCACTGTAGCAGACTACTTAGCAAGAAAGGGTATTAAACAATTTAAGTAGTTTAAAATGCTATGGAATGTGCTTTCAGAGGGGTTTGAGGTAACAAGCAGCATTGTTGGTTGGGTTTGCAGCATCTGGCATGTGCAATTGACACCAGTAAGGAGAGCTTCCTTAGGGTTAAAGTTTCTTGTTAATTAAAAGTAAGGAAGAGCTTTCCACATGTTTTTTTTCTGCCCCAAGCACCTGATTTGAAAATACTGGGTTTTAGGTTTGTGTTCTTTCACCGAGATATATTTGTCTTTGTTTTACACAGGAAAGTGGCTGCAGATGTTGGAAGTTCTTTGCAGGAGCTTTTTGCCTTAAAAATATGTGAGCAGGTTATTCATAACCTGACATTGTATCATATGTATCTTTCTAATGTTTTTATCAGAATGTTAAATATCTCTGCATCTGGAACATTCTTCAATTTTGTAAATAGTTACATGACACTTGTTGTGCAAAGTTCAAAAATTTCTGAATAAAAACAAGTAAAGGTGCATCTAACAGATGATGCACGAGGTGATCTCCAGTGGTTTTACCTGTTAAATAAAAGAACACTTTGGATGTAGCTCATCTGAAGCTCTGCAATGTCCTGGTGTCCTGACAAGTGGTCAAGTGAACACCTTCACCTCCCATTGACTGGCAGAAAGCACTTGCTAGCTCCAGAATGAACCCAAAAATATCACTAATGGCAAGTGTTTAATGTTAAATTTATGAAGCCTGGCTCAGGTTTGTAATGCACAGTAAGCAGTTTTTGAAGACCAGGCTGATGGTGATACCAAGTTCAGGGCCTCAGCTCCATCTTACTCTTCTATTCTTGGGCCAGCTCAAGTACAGCAGAGGCAGCAGATTGACTGCAGCTCCTTAGAAGTGCCTGGTGCTGCAATTAACCCTTGCAAGGAGGAGGTGCAAGGGTGGGATGGAGGCCCTGCTGGCCAAGGTATGGTCTGAGACCAACTGTCCCTCAGGTGGGTCTCAATGGCATTCACAGAAGGTGACACCACAGGTTCTTCAAGCTGGGTCTCATGTCACTGTTAATGATAAGGTGATGTAGGTGGTAGAAAAGGCTGGTTAGTTCCCAGGCCAAAGCACAATAAAGACCTTAAGGTGTTTATTACTGATCAGATCTATTTTATCCTATGCACTACATGTTGTGCTGAATGTTTGTATTAAACAAAAAAACAAAGAATAAAAAAAACCCCAAATGTTGTGGAAAAGCACTGTTTATTCTTTTTTTTTTTTAATCAGCTTCTAATATGCAATTCCAACCTTGGGTATGAAATCCAAGTGTCAGGATATTCTTGGAAGAAAACATTCTATGGCTTCCCTGGGATCGTGGCAGGGCTTTTCCACAGCACATCTGCACTTCCAAGAAAAGCCCAAGATGTTTTTTAACTAGTTTGCCTGGGGGTTTTGAAGTTTTGCATTGCATTTGCCTGTAACTGTTTGCAGTCATTTTTCATCATTTTGGTCATTTCATGACCATCTGTTAAGTAAAAAGAAGTAGCAGAAGGATGCAGAGGTTTCAGGTATGTCCAGGGCCTTGACCACAGTGTGATTCTCTCTGGTTTTAAGAAGGGAGCTTCAAATGGATATGGGAAAAATGTATCTTTAAGTGAGGTAAAAGGAAAATCTGAGGTGAGTGTTTAAAAGCCTTAATGGAATCAGGAATGCAATATACTGAGAAAATGTTGTGTGCATTAGGTAGCCTGTCTGGCTTTTAAACTTCCAAACGTGACCAATGTTGCACTGGGTTCTCCCTGCAAGGGACTGGGATCTGCTGCTGTTTCCCTGCTTGAAACCTTTCATAAAGTGTACAGGTGTGAAAAATGGAGGAAGTGCTTGGAAATCAGAGTGATCTGCCTGGTGATGGAGCTGCTCCCAGCCTGGCGAGGAGAAAAGCATGTACATGATGGAGATCACTGACACTGCTTCTTGAAAATGTGTGTAAAGCAGGAGACATCTTCTCTTGGAGGCTTCCCTGGGTGTGCAAGCCTCAGACAAATCAGCCATTGCACATGATTGCTCCTTCAGGAATTGGGGTTTTTTTGGGTTGACACATCTGCAGTGAATGGTCAGTGAAGAACTCAACTCATCAGTTTTTCCAGATCCTCTCTGACTCATCCTGCTTTCATTCCAGATGTTAATCAATGGTTTTCCATATAAATCAACCAATCTGCATAGTCATTTCTGTTCAAAATAGAGCATACAAAATTCTCTGTAAGCAAAAAGTAGACGTGGCATGATTCTCCTTTTTTCAGGTACTAGCTGGTTTCTACTGATGACTGTGGGGCTCAGGTCAGCTGGATTTGCTTTTATCTTGCTTCTTCATAGAAATAAGAATTTACAATAAAAAACCTCAAGGCCAACTGTCAGTTAATGACAGGAGAGCATAAGCTCTCTTTTATTTTGTAAATTAATAACAATATGATCAATTAAAATGAAGACTCTAGGGTGGCTTGTGATGTATGTAGAAACAAAAGCAAAGTTTCCTTTGGAAACAGTTACAACAACCAGAGAAGTTAATAATGGAGAAAATAGGCACTTACTGCCTGGTAAATCCCTGATCACAGTGCCCTAGACCTGGCACTTCCACATGTGCTGCTTTTTATGGACCACAGATAATCCAGCTGGACTCACTGAGGTTACTGACTGCGTGGGAGACTAAACCTTTCCCTCCTGTTTTCCTGCTCTTTTTCCTTTGGGTTGGAATTTGAACTTTCCTCTTTGGCCCCACCCTTGCAGCTGCAGAAGTGCTCAGCAAGAGCTGGGCAGGACCAGGTTTCCACTGGTTTGCTTAGAAGATGTTGAGCTAAGGGTGTGTAAATGTTGCACATCTGTGGAAGCAGACAAGGACTGCTTGGTGAGCACAGGAGAGCCCAGGCAGGACGTGGCTGCTGCTGCTCTGAAACAGGAGACATTTCACTGACAGCAAAGTGTGGTGTCCTGGGAAGCCAGTTTGGCTTCCTAAAGTTGTTCTCAGTGCCTTGTTCACTTCAGAACAGTCCCAGTTACAAATAACTAATAATGGAAACACTAGAAACTTTCTAAAACAAACTTAATTCTTGATTATGCCATCCAGATACAGGGGGAAAACTAGGGGGAAATGGGCAGTTTGGTTTTTTTATATTTCAGGATTGATATTTTGAAACTTCCGTTTATTTTGTGAGATCAGAGATACTGCTTTTATTCAGCAGCTCCAAAACCAGCTGATGTTTCATGACTCCATAAATACAGTTGTGTTGTCCTTGCTGATCAGAATATGTACCTCTAGGATTGGAACTGCAAAAGCCAAGACATCATTTGTGGGTTTTATGCAGGCAGGGGATTGTGCAGATGATTGTGCACTGAGCTTTCTGTGAGCACGAAGAGGGGGCAGCTTGTACCTGTTCAGCAGTTACCACTGTTGCCCTGCTCTCATCTTCCCCTGGGATCATCCCTTTGCCTCCCCATACACTAATCACACTAATGCATCCTCTGCACTGATACTTTTATCTAGCAGGGTATGGGGAAAAGTTGGGGAGACTAAATGTTTGTGAATTTATTACAAGTAAGAATCTGTTATTTTCAAAGTATATTTTTATTGATCCAATTCGGTCGAGGGTTGCCCTGTGCTATAGAATTTCAGATGCTGAAATATAAACTCTTAGTTTTAGTACAGGTGCCTTCACCCTCCTCTAAAATGTTTCTAATGAGAACTAAGTGCTTCATATGAAACATGATGGTCTGATGTCTTCAGGGAAATAGAGAGATAGGTTCTTTCCCTGCACAGAGCTCAGCCTGGAACAATTAGATGAAACGGATGTACAAAGAATATCATGTTTAATTACCTCTGTGTCTTTCATGAAGAATTTTTTCCTTTATGTAAAGAAAAAGTCCTTGGCAGGACTACTTTCTGCAGACAGACCTTAATACAGGCAACTGGAACCTCTCCATGAAATTCTTTCAAGCTTTGACCTTCAGTAATTTAATCCAGGGGTGAGTCTGGTGTGTCTGGTCACTTGGGCATGACCAGAGGGATTGATGTGCCAAGAGTCATGATGATAATTTAAAAAATACACTATTATTTCCTACTGGGAAGGACTTAAAAGAAGTAACATTAGCCAGTGTTAGCACTTGGTCTTCAGAAATTAGTTAATACATTAAACTATGGGTGAGAAGAATGTTTGTCTTTTAAAGGTAATGTAGTCAGTCCACTGGCTTTTGACATTTAGAATTACACACACTGGATGTTTTCTCTGCTTTCTGGTTCTTCCCCAAGTGATGCCTTGGGATTTAGTGGAAATCAGTGTTTCAGTGTTTTGGCTGAAAAAGTCAGGTAATTTCTAAAGGAATCAACCTTTCCCCTCCAGTTCTGCTGTCTCTGCAGTGTCAGCACCGTGGGCACTTTGCAGGAGGGAAGGTTTTAGAAGCTGGGATGAAGAAATGAAAAGGCAGGCTGGGTTCCTTAGGGTTTTCCCCTCTTTCTTAGGAATCCTCAGCATTATTCCCAGTGCCATAATCCATCTTTGCACCA